CATTTTATAATGTAACATAATTTATGTAATTCAATCTAATTGGTCAAATAATTTTAATTGTATTTAAATTTTTCAAGTATTTGAATAAATTGACATAACATTAAAATGTTATTTTTAATTTTGACAGTGTATTTTTCATGCGTTTATGGTTTTCTATATTAATTTAGTAGATTAACTATAAACAAATGGGCAAAACTATCATTCATTCATATTTTAATGAATCAAATAGTTTTCTAAAAACTAATTAGATAAAGTGTTTTCTGTTTCAATATGATTTTATTGATTTAATGATGTTAAAGAGCTAGTAATGAAGTTTATTTATTGAATGTCGAATTACTTCGTATTTGTTGAATTAGCCAGATATTAACAAGATTTTGAAATTGTGTTTAGTTCTGTGTTTATTTTTCTCCGATATTTAATTAGTGTGGTTTTTGTTCAAATAATGATCGTTATTATTCATTATGAAACATTTACATATTAACAAATACATATACAATTTAACCCTTATCACTTGGCACTGATTTATAAATAACATACTACAATTCGGTGCCGCATTTTGACTAAACATACCTCCTGCACACTTGATATCGTGCATGTTATGCAATTTGTTTGATATGAATTGAATATGATGGACATTGAAGAACATACATTTACAATGATATCTAAATTTGTTTTCTTCAGCATGTTATAGTTTAAAATAATTTCCAAATGGGGTTGATTCCAGTGGTTCTAATTTATTAGCGCGGTGACAGTTTTTATCATCGCCAAGAAAAGTGCAATATATTGTACCACACACATATATATATATATATATATATATATATATATACGAGGTCTGTTCAAAAAGTACCCGGAATTTTCGTTTTTTCAAAAAAATATTTATTTATTCGTCTACATTAATGTGGTCCCCTTCAAAGTAGTCCCCCCCAGATATAATACACTTATGCCAGCGTTTTTTTTCCAATTTTCGAAGCACCCTTGATATTCACTTTTTGATATGTCCTTGAGCACTCTCAGCGATTTTCTTCAATCGAGGAAAACCGCCGTCCTTTCATGGGTCTCTTCAACTTTGGGAAAAATAGGAAAAAGTCACACGGAGCCATATCTGGTGAATTTTTGCACTTTGCAACACTTTATTTCATTTTTACGCAAAATTTAATACAAATTCTTTGACTTTTCAATTCTTCCATTGTAAAAATCGCCGAGCTCAGAAAAACACGTCGAACCTTAGCGACCACCACAGACAAAGTAAACAGTGAATATAGCTGAAAATTTCATCATACTTTAGGGGCATGTATACCAACACAATAAAAAAAAATTTTGACAATCAGACACTCCGCGAAATTTAATTATTAGTAATTCCGGGTACTTTTTGAACAGACCTCGTATATATATATATATGTGTGTGTGTGTGTGTCTTTTGTCTTTTTTATTCGAAATGTTGCTTTACCGTTTTTAGAAAAAAAAAAGATCATATAATAAAGGGTAAACCATACTTTAAAAATAAGTACTGGTAAATATTGAATACTGTCTTATCGCTGCATAAATTTATTCTAATATAAGAATGAGTAACCTTTTCAACTCACGGGCCGCATTTAATAATTAAAATTGTATGGCGGGCCGCACTTGTTAATAATGTACAGCTTGATATATATTAATAATTATTATATAGATATACTACTACTAAAAAATATTTCATAAATTAATGCAACAAGAAAAAAATACATCAATAATTAATTTATTGATGAAGAAAGTTGATGAAATAAATAAAATTCTACTTTAGAAATGCTTGGCGGGCTGCACAAAAATATTTGAAGGACCGCATGAAGCCCGCCGGCCGCGGTTTGCTCATCCTTGATCTATTCTATTATTCTATTCGACGCTTCAAAACGAACTGAGTCATTGTGTATACAAAACTACCGAATGCCGAGGAGATAGACGAGCGCGCAGACAGGCTTACGTTGTCCCTTCAGGGGAGACAGCCGAGTGGAAAGAGTTAAAAATGAATGTTTCAATAATATCAATATATCCGAATGGATATTTTTTAATATAGAAATAAATGATAGAATTAACATCTTAATAAGTAATTCAAATATCAGTAACCAGATGTTACAATTTCTAATATCTGTATACACTTTTTTTCATTTAAATACCTAAATATAAATATTTAAATATTAAATCGATATTTTTTGATACATTAAAGATAAATGTTATTACATTTTAATTTTTTGAACTTCTTGGCTTTTAAATGCTTCCGCTTTCTGTGCTTCGAATTTCAGTTTCTTCCTGTATTTTCTCTTCTTGTGCAAATTGTTATGGCAACGCTATGTTTCGGTCTAACCTAAAAAACTCAAAAGCGCCAAAAAATAGAATGTTATTATAACTGCATCTTTCTTAATATGTCATGATAACACATACGTGAAGTTAGATTTTATGTGTAAAACACTTGATCGCACAGCAAATACATAGCATTTTGACAGTTTTTACTACCAATTTATATGAAGAAAGGAGCGTAACATAGAGTTTCCATAATAATGATATGTTACAATCTATTTTATCCGAAAATTTGACCCCTTAGTTTATATGCGGACGTGCATGCTAAATTGCCACCCGAAGCGAACTTGTATTTGGGTCGCTTTACAGACAAGCTGCGACTTCTCGAGCGTACCTCAATTCAATACCTGATGTCAGTGCTTCCGGTTACCAGTCAATTTAGTTGAACCATTTTGTCATTTCCAAATATTCGTTTTCCAATCCCTACCATTTATACAAACAAATTATGAAATATCTATACTGTTCAATTAAATTATTTTATATTTTACCGCAGATAAAAAATTCTATACGCACTTACCATCGGTGCTTGCATTTTCGTAATGAGAAAGTAAATTATTGTAAATCGAGAGATTTGCGACAGTTTGTTATTTAATTTTGTTTTAAAATAAATATTCGCGTTCGAAAGCCAATTTTTACAGATGGCCTACTATTCATTTGTTTTGAGTAAACCTTGTCAAATATACTTGACAAACAAAAACAAATATTTACAAATATCTATTTTTCTAATCGAAATATTTTACTAATAAATAATAATAATATTTTTATATTTCTGCAAATATTTCTACCAAATTTTGATTTGGTATTTATTTGATATTTATTTTTGTGTAATAATGGGTATATATTGCGTTACATTGTATCATTATCAAATTAAGGGAACAGTCACGACTGTAATTTAGAAAGGTCATTCAAATTGAGACTAAGCAAGTGAATGTGACTTCTTACGTTAAAAAGTATAACTTTTTTCGCGCGGAGGGACTCCATACACTATTATTATTATTATAATTATAAAGTTTTATATGATTCAATTCGTTTTAGCTTTGAGACAATCGTAATAGAAGAATGTTATTGTTTTGTGTAAATCAATTTATTTATTGTTTACCTTTTTCTCTGAAATAATTTATTATATGTAGGTCTGATATGAACTTAAGTTTTTAGGTCTGATATGAACTTAAGTTTTAAGTTACATGAGATTTACAGATGAGTTGATTGTATCGTATAAATTCGTCTCAGTATTATTACTTATAATTACAATAATATTATCTTTTGAAATGATAAAAGAAAGAAAGTCGTCTTTATTGCTTGTATAAGATTTATCTTGAGCAGCAATTTAATTTTATTTAACTTGAACAGCAATTGACTTCTGAAGAATTATTTGAATTAGTTATTGAAATTGTGAATAGTTATTGAATTAGGTTTAGTATTTTTATATTATATATTATATATATAATTCTACTATATTTTCTACAACATTTGCATATCTTTTCGGCCGCAACAAAAAATTATATTTATCTGCATGTTTTGAAGGTTTCGCATCGCACTCGAAAGATTCAGACAGAATGTAATTCTGTCTCCATTCCTGTTTATTTCAAAATATTTAAGACGTCATTTGTGAATAACATATATTATAGAAGGTATCTAAAAATTTTCTCGTATTTAACTTTGACTATTGCAAGTTTCCAAGATTACCAGTCACTCAATGATTGTTTTGAATTTTGCGATACATTGATAAATCTTGCATATGCTCACATTCATACTCTTCTCTTATCTATGCTTACATTTATGTAAACTTTCAGGCGAATCGGAGTTCAACTGTGACTCTGGTTTTACTGATGTCCCTCACATGCGAGATTCTGCAGAGTTCATTCAGTCTTCAGACAATCACAGCTATTCAGGAGAAGATAATTCCGACGATGCCTCCAGTGACAACTCAAACTTATCCAATATATCTGGTATGAACTGGAAACCCATGGCTGGATCCCTAAACTGGGTAAGTTGAAATTGTGTGAAATTGTCACATCGGAAATCTAATTTTTAACATATATGCAGATACAAAAAAAGATGATAACTGGAGCAAATCCTAGAGATGTCTTGAATCAATTGTCGCTAACTACTGATAAAGATTTGTCTAATATTGACGACATGAGTCTTTGGCGAATATTGATCAACATGTTCTCGGAACCTCCTAGGAGGGAGAAGTTGAGCAAAGTAAACACACTGGAAGACGTTATCGGACTTCTCAAATCATCCAAAAATATAATTGTCTTGACAGGTAGTAAAAAGAAAAAAAAACGTAATTTAGAATAAACGACATTTGATTGCGGCTTTTTGTTATAAATGTGTCAATTTTGTTTTATTCCAGGTGCTGGTGTATCAGTATCCTGTGGTATTCCCGATTTTCGTTCCCGCGATGGAATCTATGCCAGATTAGCTGTTGATTTTCCAAATCTTCCAGATCCACATTCCATGTTTGATATAAATTACTTCTTCAAAGATCCCAGACCATTTTATAAATTTGCCAGAGAAATTTATCCAGGACAATTTAAACCTTCACCATGTCACCGCTTCATCAAACTTTTAGAAAAGCACAATAAACTTCTTAGAAACTATACACAAAACATAGATACTTTAGAACAAATAGCAGGGATAAAAAATGTCATTGAATGCCATGGATCATTTGCTACTGCCAGTTGCACACGTTGTAAAACAAAAGTTACAGCAGATGATATAAGGGAAGATATATTCAAACAAAGAATTCCATTCTGCAAATTATGCCAGTTTTCTGACACAATGACCACGGATGATAATCTTGATGATCCATCACATTCAGGTAAACTTTAAAATTTTATATATGAAGCGTATAGATCTATCTGTAATTATATAATTATTGAAGTTTCGGAAAATTTGGACATAGTTAACTTCTTGATGGATAAGCTTGTTTTCTTCAGATAATCCGATTTGATAAATTTTATGTATTTTCGTTTTTTTAAGTCCTTGTTAATTGTTTAATACCAAAATTGAAAAAGATATGTGTGGAAATGCTTTTTTTCTGTATAGTGAAGGCGAAATACTTTTACATGTGCTGGGCTTAGATGTTTCTCCTGGCTATGTTCGATTTAATAATAATAATAATACCGACAATACTTCATTTAGCTACTGCTCATTTAAGTCTATGAGGGCTTTTCTTGCAAATATGCTGGAAGCGTTCCAAGTTATCCTCAATATTGTCAGCATTTTCAATAGACAATTTGTTGTAATTCTCTTTATAAACGCCATCTTTACATTATCACGTTGCGCACTAAACTGTGGTCACTCAAAAAAACATGCTTTGCATTTTCAATGTCTCCTGAATAAGACTATTTAAAAACCGTTGAAAGATATCAGTTGGGAATCTTGCTAATTATTTAATAATTAATATTTGATAAAGTTCATCAGAGCCATTTCTCTGTAAATAACAGTTAAAAATTTTTTTTTTGCGATTTTGATGAAACTGTATGATGATAGAATATATGGTTTTAAAGAACATCTTATGTGATAGTGGGCTCTGTAAAAATTTCCAAATTTTTTCTTCACAACTTTAAAAGTTGCTAAATCTTAATTCTTATTGATTAAGTTGATTATTTACACATATTGGCAATTTTCGGCTCTCATTATTAAATTCACCCAGAATAAACGATTTTAACTGTACGTATGAAACTTTTGAATATAGTTAAGTTTTTGAAATTCAAAATTTTCTAGTACTATTGAAATATTCTTATTTTGAAACTTGTTTCACAATGTTTTTATACAGTTGTAGAAATTTTAGCAAATTGCTTCCTTGTATATATGTCACTTATCATTTGTTTATATCAATCTATCACTTATCTGTTTATATTATTGCACTGAATGTATACTAAAAATATAATTTTCAGGAATAACAGAAAAAGGTATCATGAAACCTGACATAGTATTCTTTGGTGAAGGTTTACCAGAAGCTTTTCATAATGGAATGGTTGAAGATAAAGCTAAATGTGATCTACTAATTGTTATTGGTACATCTTTGAAAGTTAGACCGGTTGGCTTGATTCCAAATTCGATACCTGAAGATGTTCCACAGATACTTATAAACAGGGAACCATTGGATCATCTCGATTTTGATGTTGAGCTTTTGGGAGATTCAGATGTCATTATTAATCAAATATGCTCCATGTAAGTAGACAAATAAAATTAATCTTTTACATTTATTGTTAAAGATGTTATTATTGTACACCCATCCACCCAATCCTGTTTATGTATGCATTCTCGTTATATAAAAATAGAAATTATGATATGATATAAATGCTGCCTTCGATTAAATTTTTTTTTTAATGACTTTACAGGATGGGCGACGATTGGAAAGAAGTGTGTTGGCTTCCCGAGCCATTGCAACAAACAAAAAAATTATTGCCCTCAGAAGCAAAGTGGCAGCCAAATTCACCAAATTCAATCAACCAGCCATCCACCAGCAAAGCGAGTGAAACCTTAGATCAATCCAGTGATGAGTGCAGTCCATTCCGAAGAGGTCTGGAAATATGTTCCATGGATTCCTCATATCTGAGTGAAAATAATCCAACATCTAATGATAACCAAATCGTACCTGATAACAAAAATACTGATGAATCGTGCAAGGAGCGACACATGTCTATAGATTCAGCAGGAGACAGCGGAATCGGAGACGGATCAAATTCAATTGACAGTTCATCCATCAATTCGAGATTATTATTAGAGGACACAAGCAGAAAGCAGAAGGCTACATACAAATTGAAATGCATTGCCGATTTGTTACCACCACAAACATATTTCTTAGAGCCGCCGAGTAGATATATCTTTCCGGGGGCTGAAGTTTGTTTAGACGAGTGGGATAATAGTGATTTGGAACAATCATCTAGTGATGACTCCGGTTCGGAGTCAGATGAGGGAGAAAACAACAGCAACATGGAATTCTGTTCAAGTTCACAAGTCATAAGAAATATCTGCGATGATAGTATGTCGAGCGGTTCAGATTATGAAGCACCTCCCATTAAACGTATAAAAAGAAATTATCTTAGTTAAATATTTAGTTTTAATTAAATCATAAAAAGGGTTATGTTTTTTTGCTGAAGGCAAATTTCATTTCAGTGCGTATTTGGATATACCATTAGAATTTGAATGAGTATTGGAATAAGTGACCAGAAATATATTTTTTGGGATTCTGCTGAACTAGTGTAAGTAAAGAGAAACTTTTTTAGTTAAAAGTTTTAACAATGAGTACAACCTTATTAATAAGTACATGTAATAGAGTATTTTATAACTGGAAACCCATGGATGAATGATTTGAATTTGTGTATGTGAAATTGGCGAGATTTATAGTATTTTTTCAAAATTATATGATTAGGGGGTTTCTAAACAAAATCAAAAAAAATTATTATTGTTGATCTTATTTTAAATGTTTTGGATATATATACATATATATGATGATGAATGAGCTGTATGAAAATGATGTAGTTATCGAAATTAATAATTTTTATTAAATAGCATTAAAAAATAATAAATACCATTAAAAATTTGCTATGAAAGAATTTTTTAATTAGTTTTTGATTATTTTCCAAGTTATCATATTCAATCTTTAGTAGTACTTGCTTAGCAGCGGAATTGAATAAACTTGAATATAATTCAATGCTCAATTAATCTACACACTCTGATAAACTTTGAATATAAACTTAAAAAACTAAAATAATTTAAATGTAAACACAGCCATAGTATAGAAACTATGATACACTATTTTCACAAGTGGACTTTTGTTTATATATATATATATATATATATATATATATATATATATATATACATATTCATAATACTTTGTATATTGGTATGTAAGAAAAGTAGGCTATGATGTCTTATTTTGTAGCTTGTTTAACAAAATAGAAAATGAATTTTGACAATGTTAAATACTACATGCTGTAAATGAGTTTTAATGCTGTAAATATATAGAAAAAATGAAGCAGTCATTTCATGTTTTAAAAGGAGATCTGGCAAAATTTATTTTGGCATTGTTGATTCATAAACGATTAAAGAATAATAAGTGGAATACATTCTTATTCAATAAGACATTTATTCAATAATGTATTCCATTTATATCTGAATAAACATGGGTATATATTTATATATATATATTTATATATATATATATATATAAAATGTGTATGTATACTAAGGTTGAACTCTATTTAATTTTAATAGTTTTCTTCAATCATTTTATTTGAAAAAGTCGTTTCTTGAAATTTATATGCAGTTTCATACTTACCGTGATATGTACATGTGCTAATAATTATTAGAATAAAATAATTTGTAAAGATTAAAAATTTTACCTACGATTTAAAAATTGTATCATCCACAATTTTAAAACATATGTCCCACTTGAATTATTGGCATATATAATAAAATTATTTTTTTTTACTGAAATTTCTAAATTTTACATAATGAAATTAATGTTACACCTACATGCATGATAGATTTTTGAGTCAAACTACTTTAGTTTGAATATTTCAATTCACTTGAATTATCATTGTGTGAATGTGTGATTTGTGATTTGTGTTTGTATAACTAAGTATGATTAAGGTATCCCTATTTCATTTGTTATAAAAAGTGATTAATTTTTCATAATTAGCCATTATTTTCTTAATAATATACAATTTCAATTTACATATCACACACATAGATCAAAATACTATTTGAGCCTCATTGACCTCTCATGCAATGATGTGTTTGATCAAAACTCAGATCAAGATCAGTCAACTGTTTCTCTCGTTGTGTGTGAGGCCAACTTTAAATTTTGTTGATTGTAAATTACTGTTTCGAATTGTACGTCTTTAATAATTGATATATTTTAAATCAGGTGCATTTTGTACCTAAATGTAATCATTTAATGAATAATATTAATTACCACACTAGTAATTTTTTTTTAATAAATTGCTAAGCGGTAGAATTTTAATGTAGATAATGTCTCATGTCATAAAATTGATATTGATAATGCTTCCAAATCCTTTTTTTTTTAACCATAGCTGGAGCAAGTATAATTTTAGTAAACCTGGTATTAAAATGATTTATTGCAACAAAAGCAAAATTAGACATTGTAATTAAGTTCATTGATTGATGTGCATATTTTTTTTATTTAATTTATATTTTTGTACATGTGGTTGAACAAACCTTAAAATATCTTGTTATTTAACGAAAAATATGTTATTAAATATAAGTGAAAGTATTTGATTGTTTTTTTATACAATATCTTTCTATATATACAAGATATTTCAGACCTATTCAACAGCCGAAATAATGTGACAATACTGTCTATGAATAAAATTATTCTAGGAGTTTAAAAGTTATGAGCTTTGAACTATAACCTATAGCGTTGATTCCAATACGTACAAAAATTAATCAATACGATTTCCAACTTATGTCTTTTAAACATATACTTATAATATCATTGTATTCATTAAATTAATTTGTTTAACAAATTTCATTCCATCTATTTCGTGTTCTAAACTATTCACGAAACACCGAACGTATTATAAAAGTTTGCTAAGCATAGATTCTGATTAAAATCGCTAAAGCGAGCGACGAAATTTTGAACATTATTACGAACGAAATTTTGAGCGACGGTTAACCCTTTCGGGGCGATATTCAAAAGATAGCTTTTATAAATTTTATGTTCTATGTTTAATTATGTCCTTGTTAACTGTTTAATACCAGAATTGAAAAAGATATGTGTTGAAATGCTTGTTTTCTGTATAGTTAAGGCGAAATACTTTTACATGTGCTGGGCTTAGATGTTTCGCATGGCTATGTCCGATTCAATAATAATAATAATGCCGACAATACTTAATTTAGCTATTGCTCATTTAAGTCTATAGAGTCTTCTCTTTCAAATATGCTGGAAGCGTTCCAAGTTGTCTTCAATATCGTCAGCTCTTTCAGCAGACAATTTGTTGTAATTATCCTTATGAAGGCGGTCTTTACATTATCATCTTGCGCACTAAACTGTGTGCACTCAAAAAAACATGCTTAGCATTTTCAATGTCTCCGAAACTCAATGTATTCAAAAGATCGGTTTTTGTAATATTTTGTATATGTGCATATATGTTGAAATAAAAATAAAAAAAATAATTTTAATTATTAGGGGGACGGCTGGCGAGGCTGGTTAACCGTCTGTACTTTTTGTTGGTCCACACTTGGAAAAAACGTCCTATAAAAACAATAAAAAAACGTATGCATACCACAAGTCTAATTTATAGTAATGAATATACAAAATATGTGAAACATAGTTATATTTGCTGGAGTTTTTTTGTCCACTGTAACAACTATTAATCAACGAAAAACGCAAGTAGTTTATATATTTGATTGAAAATAGTATAATTTTAGCAACGTGGTCTGGGCGGCAAAAAACAAAACGTGTCTGGTTCCAAACTAAATGCTGTTTTATGGGCCATATCTGTTTTATATCACAGCTAAACACATAGATTACGTCGTTGCATAAATTGTATTGCTTTTATTCATAAATTCAACTATCTAGAAATTTTTAAACTTGGTAGTACATATGTGTTCCACGCGTACCGAAAAAGTTAAACCGCTTATCGTAGAGGTCTATAAGTTTTTTAGTATGTTATTTCAGACTACGAAACCTATCATTATACTAAGTTTTATCAAAATCGTAAAAAAAATCAACATTTATTTATGATTCTAAATGATTTAAAACGTCGAGAAAGCATAAAGTTCCCGTGCCCTACTTCCCGTAGGGCAAGTTATAGTAATCGCAAAAAAATCGAAAATGAGATTTTTATATATCTTTACATTTCAAAACCTTCTGAACATTTTAGCATACCTTAGAAAAAAATGATGTATGTGTGTGTGTGTGTTTTTTTTTGTATAGCGAAGGAAATGCCTTTATGCATCCCAGACTGGTGTTCTATCTGGGTATGTCGGACTCAATACCGCCCTGGTATAATATCGACTAAAACCTCCGCTTTGCCCTTGCCCCTGGTCCCCACGGAAACCGCCGTTAGGCATTACTTTGTGGGGGAGGATCTAGAATGTTATAATTCTTCACTTGATTTTATACTCATCTTTTAAATGGGCGAAGTCCTATTCGTCCTTTCTCTTTTCATAGAGCGCAGGTCAATTAGCACTAGAGGTGGGTCGTTGACGGTTTTGCCGTCAACGAAACGAAACGGTTATCGGGGTTTCGTCAACTAGTTAAATAACTAGTTATTTTTCAACTATAGTTATTTTTAACGATTCAACGCTGGCAACGTTAAGAAACTGATAGTTGAAATAACTGTTTCATTGAAAGTTGGTAATATGAACTTTGTTCTTATAAAAGTCAAGTTGACGTTGGATTTGATGAATAAAAAGAAATAAATGTGAATTGTCACATTTATTACACACACACACATATATATATATATATATATATATATATATATATATAATAAATAAAGGTTTAATTTAAAAAACTTAAATATTTTCATTACAGCAAAGCCATATACTAAAACATCGAATTTACATGTTATATAAAAATAGCAATATAAAAATGTATGGTTATATAAAATGTTATGAAAAATAAAAATCAATTTTCAGGTTTAGTTTAAAAAAATTATTACAAGACAAATGCTATGAGATTTTCATGAAAAATATTAACCATTGAAAACTATAATAAATGTAACTGATTTTCTAAAATTAAACGATTTGGCGCGTGTTGCAAGTTTCTTTTAAGATGTACATGTACATTTGCAAGCAGTAGCCTAACAATAAGCGATTTTCATAGTATTGGTTGATCCTTTCCGACGCAGGTACCTGCCTACGTTCGTTTTCGACAACAAACGAATTCCTATATCGTTCGAAAAAACTAACTGGCCGCCATGTTTTCAACTGTTTCGAAACTAGTTGATTTTCAACTAGTTATTTCGTTGCGACGAAACGGTTAGTTAGTTAACGAAGAAGAAACGGTTGAAAATAACCGTTCGTTGATTCAACGCCCATCACTAATTAGCACCGCTCTTGCAAATATGTCTATATTGTGTTTCAAGCAGCTTCACTTGTCAGTATCACTTCAACAACATTACCTGGGGTAATGCTTCGCTCAATGTCTCTTCTACATCGTCCCGTAGAGCACCAAATCGCGGGCACACGAAGAACACATGCTCAGCATCTTCGATTTCGCCCAAACAATATGGGCAATCCGGCGAGCTATCGTGCATGTGTGTGTGTGTATGTGCGTGTATGTGTGTGTGTGCGGATACAAATTTTCGTCGACGATTTCGGGAACACGGAAGAAACAATTTGAATAATTCAAAAAACATTCGATTCGTATTGATAAAGAGACGCGCTGATTAGTTTTTGGCAAAGGCAGGTCTAGCCGTTCCGAAGATACGGGGCAAAAAGTGCCAAAAACTGTTACTCAGTTTTTAGGAGAACGGAGCGTCTCATTTTAATAATTCTAAAAACATTTTGTATTGACGAAGTGAATAGTGAACTGGTGAATTTTTGGGGAAGGTAGGTCTAGCGGTTATAGACTCTCAATAAAATTAAGTTTAAAAATTGCAATTTGGCGGTCAAAAATGTTTATTGGACATATGTACATCAAATTATCAGATATTTTATAGAGATTTTAATATTGTGTACACATTTAGTGTAAATTTTTTGGGTTCCATAGCAAGATTTTTGATTTTAAATTTCACGTATATGGTTCAAATAAATGTCCTCGACATTTTCGGCAGTATGGAATAACTGATTTGAA